TTTATATAAAGCTACTGTGTATGCACATCCAAGACATCTTACTGGACCAGTGTAAGTCGTAAGTTGACATTTGTCACACGCCTTTTAGCGAGATCAGCATTAGGTATAAAACTACTGCGTATGAGCATCAGACATCTGACTGGACCAGTGTAACTCGCAAATAAATAAAAATTTGTAACACGCTTTTGAGCGAGATCACAATTAGATACATTTAACTACGATCTATGCACATCAAAGACATCTTATTGGACCAGTGTAAGTGGTAAGTAAATTAAAATTTGAAACACGCCTTTGAGCGAGATCAGCATTAAGTATATAAAACTACTGTGTATGCACATCCAAGACATCTTACTGGACCAGTGTCGTAGACATTTGTCACACGCCTTTAGCGAGATCAGCATTAGAATAAAACTACTGCGTGAGCATCAAAGACATCTTACTGGACCAGTGTAAGTCGTAAGTTGACATTTGTCACACGCCTTTGAGCGAGATCAGCATTATATCTATAAAACTACTGCGTATGCACATCAGACATCTTACTGGACCGACATAACTCTTAAGTAAATGAAAATTTGCAACACGACTTTGAGCGAGATCAGAATTAGATACATTTAACTACGATCTATGTACAACAAAGACATCTTATTGTACCAGTGCAAGTCATAAGTAAGTTGACATTTGTCACACGCCTTTTAGCGAGATCAGCATTAGGTATAAAACTACTGCGTATGAGCATCAAAGACATCTGACTGGACCAGTGTAACTCGCAAATAAATAAAAATTTGTAACACGCTTTTGAGCGAGATCACAATTAGATACATTTAACTACGATCTATGCACATCAAAGACATCTTATTGGACCAGTGTAAGTGGTAAGTAAATTAAAATTTGAAACACGCCTTTGAGCGAGATCAGCATTAAGTATATAAAACTACTGTGTATGCACATCCAAGACATCTTACTGGACCAGTGTAAGTCGTAAGTTGACATTTGTCACACGCCTTTTAGTGAGATCAGCATTAGGAATAAAACTACTGCGTATGAGCATCAAAGACATCTTATTGGACCAGTGCAAGTGGTAAGTAAATTAAAATTTGTAACACGCCTGTGAGCGAGATCAGCATTATATCTATAAAACTACTGCGTATGCACATCAAAGACATCTTGCTGGACCGACATAACTCTTAAGTAAATGAAAATTTGCAACACGCCTTTGAGCGAGATGAGAATTAGATACATTTAACTACGATCTATGTACAACAAAGACATCTTATTGTACCAGTGCAAGTCATAAGTAAGTTGACATTTGTCACACGCCTTTTAGCGAGATCAGCATTAGGTATAAAACTACTGCGTATGAGCATCAAAGACATCTGACTGGACCAGTGTAACTCGCAAATAAATAAAAATTTGTAACACGCTTTTGAGCGAGATCACAATTAGATACATTTAACTACGATCTATGCACATCAAAGACATCTTATTGGACCAGTGTAAGTGGTAAGTAAATTAAAATTTGAAACACGCCTTTGAGCGAGATCAGCATTAAGTATATAAAACTACTGTGTATGCATATCCAAGACATCTTACTGGACCAGTGTAAGTCGTAAGTAAATTAAAATTTGTAACACGCCTTTGAGAGAGATCAGCTTTAAATATAAAAAAACTACTGTATATGCTCATCAAAGATATGTTACTGGATCGACATAACTCTTAAGTAAATGAAAAGTTGTAACACGCCTTTAAGCGAGAACAGAATTAGTTATATAAAACTATTGTGTATACACATCAGACATCTTACTGGACCAGTGTAAGTCGTAAGTAAATTAAAATTTGTAACACGCCTTTTAGCGAGATCAGCATTAAATACATAAAACAACTTTGATTGCACATCAGACATCTTACTGTACCAGTGTCAGTCGTATGTTAATGAAAATTTGTAACACGCCTTTGAGCGAGATCAGCATTTATATATATAACACAACTGACTATGAGCATCAGACATATTACTAGATCTGTGTAAGTCGTAAGTAAATTAAAATTTGTAACACGCCTTTGAGAGACATCAGCATTAAATATAAAAAACTACTGTGCATGAACATCAAAGATATATTACTTGACCGACATAACTCTTAAGTAAATGAAAAGTTGTAACACGCCTTTGAGCAAGATCAGAATTAGTTATTTGAAACTACTGTGTATACACATCAGACATCTTACTGGACCAGTGTAAGTCGTAAGTTAATGAAAATTTGTAACACGCCTTTGAACGAGATCAGCATTAAATATATAAAACAACTGACTATGAACATCAAAGACATATTACTAGACCTGTGTAAGTCGTAAGTAAATTAAAATTTGTAACACGCCTTTGAGCGAGATCAGCATTAAATATATAAAACAACTGACTATGAACATCAAAGACATATTACTAGACCTGTGTAAGTCGTAAGTAAATTAAAATTTGTAACACGCCTTTGAGCGAGATCAGCATTAAGTATATAAAACTACTGTGTATGCATATCCAAGACATCTTACTGGACCAGTGTAAGTCGTAAGTAAATTAAAATTTGTAACACGCCTTTGAGAGAGATCAGCATTAATTATATAAAACAACTTTGTATGCACATGAGACATCTTACTGTACCAGTGTAAGTCGTAAGTAAATTAAAATTTGTAACACGCCTTTGAGCGAGATCAGCATTAAGTATATAAAACTACTGTGTATGCATATCCAAGACATCTTACTGGACCAGTGTAAGTCGTAAGTAAATTAAAATTTGTAACACGCCTTTGAGAGAGATCAGCATTATTATATAAAACAACTTTGTATGCACATGAGACATCTTACTGTACCAGTGTAACTCGCAAATAAATGAAAATTTGCAACACGCCTTTGAGCGAGATCACAATTAGATACATTTAACTACGATCTATGCACATCATAAACATCTTATTGGACCAGTGTAAGTGGTAAGTAAATTAAAATTTGAAACACGCCTTTGAGCAAGATCAGCATTAAGTATATAAAACTACTGTGTATGCATATCCAAAACATCTTACTGGACCAGTGTAAGTCGTAAGTAAATTAAAATTTGTAACACGCCTTTGAGAGAGATCAGCATTAATTATATAAAACAACTTTGTATGCACATGAGACATCTTACTGTACCAGTGTAAGTCGTAAGTAAATTAAAATTTGTAACACGCCTTTGAGCGAGATCAGCATTAAGTATATAAAACTACTGTGTATGCATATCCAAGACATCTTACTGGACCAGTGTAAGTCGTAAGTAAATTAAAATTTGTAACACGCCTTTGAGAGAGATCAGCATTATTATATAAAACAACTTTGTATGCACATGAGACATCTTACTGTACCAGTGTAACTCGCAAATAAATGAAAATTTGCAACACGCCTTTGAGCGAGATCACAATTAGATACATTTAACTACGATCTATGCACATCATAGACATCTTAATGGACCAGTGTAAGTGGTAAGTAAATTAAAATTTGAAACACGCCTTTGAGCAAGATCAGCATTAAGTATATAAAACTACTGTGTATGCATATCCAAGACATCTTACTGTACCAGTGTAAGTCGTATGTTAATGAAAATTTGTAACACGCCTTTGAGCGAGATCAGCATTTATATATATAACACAACTGACTATGAGCATCAGACATATTACTAGATCTGTGTAAGTCGTAAGTAAATTAAAATTTGTAACACGCCTTTGAGAGACATCAGCATTAAATATAAAAAACTACTGTGCATGAACATCAAAGATATATTACATGACCGACATAACTCTTAAGTAAATGAAAAGTTGTAACACGCCTTTGAGCGAGATCAACAATTAATATGTAAAACTACTGGGTATGCGCATTAAAGACATCTTCTTGGACCAGTGTAACTCGCAAATAAATGAAAATTTTCATCACGCCTTTGAGCAAGATCAGAATTAGATACATTTAACTACTATCTATGCACATCAAAGACATCTTAATGAACCAGTGAAGGCGTATGTAAATTAAAATTTGAAACACGCCTTTGAGCGAAATCAGCACTTGTCACGTTAAGTTATTTTTGCACTTATATTAATTTGCTTATATATACTTTAGTTATATAAAATTATGTAAATAAAATAAAACTTACATTAATTTGCACATCTTCACTATGCAGAAAATGTATAAACCTTAAATTTAAAATTAATCATCATTTTCTACTTGGTGACCGGGTCGATGATAGATTTCATAAAGTTAATGTAAATAAAAGCTTTATTGTAACCAGTCATCATATCCCGGATATAATAAATTTTGAAGCGACTTTTTATAATTACGTATTTGTATGCAGTTTCTTCTCGTAAAACATGTGTGATCGCCTATAAGCGAGCGGCAAATGTAAGGTCGTCTTAAAATATTTGTGATTAGAAATATGTATGGAGTCGATTGGTATATTTTATGTTTCTTTTGTTAAGAAGATTTATCTAATGGATAACAAAAGCTTTCATTTTAACAACATTTAAATGATAATTTAACCTAAAGTTAGTACTGAGAGTCGCTTTCTACATCATACAGTTTTCCCATAGGTGGAGCGCGATGTCGAACACTAAAACTATGAAGCGGGTTTTCGTGCAGTACAGAGCTGCGGCCTAGTGCTCACTCTTGTACTAACGTAAAAACTCCATTCTAAACCAAGTACACGCTTGCACGTCTAGTCTACATGAAGTGTGTGCAAATAGTAAAATGCCAGTGACTCCGAAAGGAGCAAAATATATGGCAAAGTTTAATCAGTGTTGAGCGTTTGTGCATTATTAGCAAGTACTAACGATTCTATATACATGAACTGTTTCAACTGCTCAGAATGTTTTATTTTCTCAAAATGGCAGATGTGCCTTCACTCCGAGCGGAGTGATACGAGATTAAATACGTGTATAAGGGCATTCAAATTATTCCGCATTGCTAAATCATTATAACATACGAAAAGACATGATGATACTACCCTGAACGGTGGATCACTCGGCTCGCGGGTCGATGAAGAACGCAGCCAACTGCGCGTCATAGTGTGAACTGCAGGACACGCTCGAACATCGACATTTCGAACGCAAATTGCGGTCCGCGGAGACACGTCCGGGACCACTCCTGTCTGAGGGCTGGCCGTACACCAAAAGGGGCCACACTGCGAACGCTTTCCAACAGTAAGGCGTTCTGCCGTTGACGGTTTCGACGCGTGTTGCCTCTTCGCTGCCTTTCGGTGGCGATGGGGACGGTGTCGTCCGTTTAAATATTAGTCTCTCTGTGGGTATTATTACTCGCGACTTTTGGTCGTCTCGACGAAGCCGACACGTCGTAAGAGGTCGGTGTAGTCGATGAAACGATTGGAACGATGCGCGTAAAATATACAATTTAGAGATCGCTGTAAGCGGAAACTCCGTAGCGCGCTTTCGTCGTGCGGACGGATATACGAGTCTGCCTACGCACCCTATCGCCGGCCTCAGATCAGGGAGGATCACCCGCTGAATTTAAGCATATCAGTAAGCGGAGGAAAAGAAACTAACCAGGATTTCCTCAGTAGCGGCGAGCGAACAGGAAAGAGCCCAGCGCCGAATCGCGCGATCGTACCGGTCGCGCGACATGTGGCGTTCGGGAGGTTCCGCTTTCTCGTCGTCGGGTCTCCTGTCCAAGTTCCTCTTGAACGGGGCCGCTTTCCCGGAGAGGGTGCCAGGCCCGTAGAGACGGAGCGCGGCGGCGAGAGGGACTCTCCTTAGAGTCGGGTCGCTTGAGAGTGCAGCCCCAAGCGGGTGGTAAACTCCATCTAAGGCTAAATATCACCGCGAGACCGATAGCGAACGAGTACCGTGAGGGAAAGTTGAAAAGAACTTTGAAGAGAGAGTTCAAGAGTACGTGAAACCGTTCAGGGGTAAACCTGCGAAACTCGAATGAAGGAACGGAGAGATTCAACACTGGCCCGCCGCAAAAGTGTGTGGGAGGTGTGCACTTCTCTCTTAGTAAAACGTTGCGACCCACTCCGTATCCGACTAAGGAACTATCGTAGCCGATGGCGTCGGGCGTCGTCGGACCAGCGTTAGTTACTGTTGGTAAAGAGTGGTAGACTACGATTCGCGCACGCGCTTTTGACGCGTTCGGCCCTACTGCGGTAGTAGTGCCGTAGTCCGCCTTTGCGCGAACTATGGCGCTGCACGCTCGAGTTTGTGCCTGTCTTGCGACATCGGACGGTGCGTGTCTCGGTCGGCGACGATTACGTTTCGGGCACTCCGCAGGACCCGTCTTGAAACACGGACCGAGGAGTCTAGCATGTGTGCGAGTCATTGAGTTTTGAAGCTGAAAGGCGAAACGAAAGTGAAGCGGTGTTTCTAACGGAGCACCTGGGAGGATGATCGCGGAACTCCGTCCGCGCCCGCACTTCCGAGGCGTTCTTTCCCAATTTGCGGATGTGGACGTGCTATGAGCACAAATGCTGGGACCCGAAGACGGTGATCTATGCCTGGTCAGGTCGAAGTCACGGGAAACTGTGATGGAGGACCGAAGCGATTCTGACGTGCAAATCGATCGTCTGAACTGGGTATAGGGGCGAAAGACCAATCGAACCGTCTAATAGCTGGTTCCGTCCGAAGTTTCCCTCAGGATAGCTGGCGCCGATCGTGAACAGTCTCATCCGGTAAAGCGACTGATTGGAGTATTAGAAATCGAAACGTTTCCTAACTCTTCTCAAACTCTAAATGGGTGAGAACTCCGGCTTGCTTAAATATTGAAGCTCGCGATTCGATGACGGTGCCAAGTGGGCCAATTTTGGTAAGCAGAACTGGCGCTGCGGGATGAACCGAACGTAGAGTTAAGGCGCCCAAAAGACGCTCACAGTTACCTAAAAGAGGTTGGACGTTCAAGACATCAGGACGGTGGCCATGGAGGTTGGTATCCGCTAAGGAGTGTAAACAACTCACCTGAATAAGCGTGCAGCTCTGAAAATGGATGGCGCTCAAGTGTCTTGCCTATACTCTACCGTTACCGGCACGTGCGGTGGACGGCCAATGTCCGCCATTAAGCCGTAACGAGTAGGACGAGCGCGGCGGAGAGCGCAGAAGGGTCTGGGCGTGAGCCCGCCTGGAGCCTCCGTCGGTGCAGATCTTGGTGGTAGTAGCAATACCCGGTGAGGCCCCGGAGGACCGACGTGGAGAAGGGTTTCGCGTAAACAGTAGTTGCACGAGTCAGTCGATCCTAAGCTCAAGGAGAAATCTTTTATGGATGTGTTTCTGTAATAAGAACTACGTCCGTCGAGCAGGGAATCCCGGTTGAAATTCCGGAACCCGGCAGCGGAAGCGTTTCAGTAATCGTTCGTTCGCCCAAAAGGTGTGAATGTTCGACGGGGTGACCCGAACGGGCCTGGAGACGCCGTCGGAGGTTCGGGAAGAGTTTTTCTTCTATTGAGCGTTCGAGTTCCGCGGAATTCTGTAGAAGGGAGATGCGGTTCGGAACGCGAAGAGCATCGCTATGGAGCGATGTCCGGATCCTCCATACGGACCTTGAAAATTCAAGGAGGGACATACGCGTAATGTCGCTCGTACCATATCCGCAGCAGGTCTCCGAGGTGAAGAGCCCTGGTCGATAGAATAATGTAGGGAAGTCGGCAAATTGGATCCGTAACTTCGGAATAAGGATTGGCTCCGAGGGCCGAGGCGAGTCGAGCTCGAGAGTGAAAGGACGCGTCGGAGTACGGCTGGTGTAAAGTCATCCGAAACTCTGACCTCCGATAGATCTTTCGAGTGAATCTCGGATCGTGGCATCTCGATTCGAGGTACCTACGACCGCCGTAAACGGCCAACTCGGAACTGGCACGGACAAGGAGAATCCGACTGTCTAATAAAACATAGCATTGCGATGACCCTCGTGTTGACGCAATGTGATTTCTGCCCGGTGCTCGGAATGTCAACGTGAAGAAATTCGCCGAAGCACGGGTAAACGGCGGAGTAACTATGACCTTCATAGAAGCCACCGTCACCCAATTAGTGACGCGCATGAATGGATCAACGAGATTCTCGCTGTCCCTATCTACTTCTTCGTCCCTATCGACTTCGGTTTCGGCATTCGTTGCGAACGCACGCGTACCGAGCTCCGTGGTGCTTTTAAATAATTTATTTATATATTCGTGTTAATCAGTGATCTCTGGTGCCTTGCTGGAAAGTCGGTCCCTCCTTGTCTCGCAAGGGACCTCTCCAGACCGTTGCTGCCCACCGCCCACTAGAGCGAAGCATAGCGGCTGGGAATTGCGGCTGCTTATTGGCTGCCAGAATCGGTGGCTCCTTGTCTCGCGACCGGAGCTCCATCTGGCCGCGCCCACCGACCGGGTGAGTGAGAAGCCGAGTGTGTGTGACTCGCCCACTCCGTGCACGTGGTCCGTGCTGCCCTCCTCGGGCCTGCTGCTGGGTGAGACTCGCCTCCTGCGTGCGCGGCGATACTTTCGGCCGCGCTCACCGTGCGAGGTAAAGGCGGAGGGTTCCGCCCACCGGGCCGTGAGTGACAGCTGACACTTGTTTTTACTTTCTTATCTTGGTCCATATACATTATTAAGGTGGTATATAATTTGTACTTATATCGGTCTTTAATTGTACACTAACTATAACTAGCCTTAAGTGTTGCGGTGTCCGGTGTCCGGCAAGATGGAGGGCGATGACGCGCCGTTCACGCCGCGACATTCCATTTGCCGTACGCCGCCTAGCGGTGTGTCCAGGGTCGATTCGGACCTACTCGAATCGACTCGTGCATCGACGGCCGAGAAGCGTCCGCGCGACTCTCCGGGCGAGGAGGTTCCAGCGTCGCGACCCAAGATAGGTGAAAGACGTACGAAGAAAACTGTATCGGAGGCTGCGCCGCCTGTCGCCGGAATATTGACCAGCGCTACGGAGATGACGGCGGACGATTTTGAAGAGTATAGTGAAGCTGGCGACGGCTCTCTATTCAGCGGATCCAGCATCGAGATGATTAAGCGAGTCCATGCAGCCATTAAAAGTATCAATGCAATCGCCACTAGCACTTCTTCAAAATTAAATAAGGCGGATACCAGCAGTATTGCTGCATGCAGTCAAGACATACTTGCGGTCGTTGCTGTCCTGCAAATCAAGCTCATGGAATCGGAGGCCAGGGTGGCTCACACGCGCAGTGAAATAAACTCAATTCTAGCTGAGGCGCCTACCGTAACACCGGCAGCTGACACGTACGCCGCGAGGCTTAAGCTGCCTAGGCAGGTTGTGCCGATGGAGATGCCGCGCGCCCGGGGGCCAGTCTTGGCTTTCTATCCAACAACAGAGCAACAAGAGAAACTAAAAACAGCAGAAGATACGAAACGGGAGCTCTAAAGTGCCATCGACCCAAGGAAAATAAACATTCAGGTGGAAAAGCTGCGGAAAGTCGGAAATGCTGGCGTGGTCGTACAGACGACGTCAAAGGACGCAGCTATGAAGCTAAAGAATGCGGCCCCCAACGCCCAGTAACAGAACCTAAGAGGAGACAGCCCTGGTCGGGTTAAGGAACATGTCAGGTAACCCTGACTTCGAAAATGTAATTGAGTGCCTACACGAACAGAACTTCCGCGAATCACACCCCCAATGGACTGTGGAAAAGTTGAAGGAAAGCTGTAGCTTGCTTTCAAAAGTCGCGGGCAGATAGAGGCATCACGACAGTGGTGCTGGAGTGCACGCCGAGCTGCGTGACTTCTTACCGGCCTGGGGAGAGTGTACGTGGGCTGGGAGGTGGTCGAAACCTGCGGACTTCCTTGGGTGTCACCTGCTGCAGGAAATGCCAACAATACGGGCACCCTGAGAAGTTCTGCCGGTCTAAGGAGGTGTGCAGTGGCTGCGGTCTGACTGGTCACCGTAAAGCCAGCAGGCGGAAACGACACGCTGTGCCACGTGCCATCGGTTTGGTAAGCGCGATGCTGCCACACATCTAACGGCTGCTATTGACTGTCCAGCGCGACGGTTTGCAGAAGAGCGCGCGGCCGCTATGACCAACTATGGCTAGCTGCCGTACGCTGAGGGTCGGGCAGCTCAACCTGGCAAGATCGATGTTAGCCACCGGCGAACTGCCAGCCATTGCCAAGGAGCTTAAACTCGATGTCATTCTCATTCAGGAACAGTACTGTGGCGGAGTGGACATACTGCAGACGGGTGACCGCGCATCGGCAGGAGTTTATCTGGCGACTGGATGGACGTCGTGCGCTGTCTTACATGAGCTTAGCAACAGTCATTGTTTGGTATGCGTGCTGGGGTGGACAGAGATTGTCCTGATCTCAGCATATTTCCAGTACAGTCATCCCATAGATGAGCACCTTGTGCACCTGCAGCGGGTGTTAACAGTTCTCAGGGGTCGGAGGATCGTTATCGGCGTGGACTGCAATGCTCACTCGACGCTCTGGCACTGTACACCAGAGCAGTGCAGGGTCGAGATTCGAGGCGACACAACGACGGCAAAAATGGAGGACTTTATCTACAGTCTGAACCTTGTTATTAACAACGTGGAAGGCGAACCGGCGACATTCGCTGGAGCCGGCGAGTCCAATATCACACACTAAGGACGCGCGGTGTAAGGATATCGGACTGGAGAGTTCTGCCGATGTTTGTGCCGCGACCACCGACTCTGACGTATTACAACGTCGATGGCACAAGAACGTCTGTCGCGTGCGCGGAGCCGGTCGACGAGCCTTACAGGTTCCAGGATCGGGATGGATTGGAACCGGTTTCAATCGCTGATACATTTTAAATGGGGCACGTCAACTTCGGCAATAGCACGCCTGTGTGTGTGCGCAAGTCAAATATAATTGTTTCTACATCATACGAAGTGCTTAGGTGTCCGGAAAAGCAGACAGGACAAAGGTTATGAATGGTGGTCTGGTACTCTGGACCAAGAGCGAAAAGGTATTTTGCAAGAAAGAAGGATGTGGCAAGAACTAGAAACGAGGCGGATGGGTGAAAGAGGGATGCTAGGAGCGAGTATCGGTTGGCGCGATTGAAGTATAGAAGGATGATGCGGGAGGCGCAACTGAACTATTTTAAGAGAATTGCAGACACGGTTTAGATCGGGAATGGCCTACCAGGTTGCCTCAGGGCGGTGAACCGCCGATCAATGTGATAAACGCCGTCACGTATGCGGGGGAGTGCAACATCGACGTCTGGGCGGCGTATACGCTCTTAAATGCGCCTATGTCCGGATGATGATGGCGGCCGTGACTCTAATTATCATAAGTCCATACGTTTGGCGGCGACTTTTGAGACATCAGGTTCGGATGCCTCCCTTACCCGTTCAGAGCTCGGTAGAATAATCAAGGCGCTGCCTAACACTGCACCGGGGGCTGATGGCTTGAGTGCAAGAATATACAGAATGCATGGTATGCGGCCTCGGCAGAAATTACAGAGATATGCTAGATGTGTTAGGGATGGAATGTTTCCGGATGTATGGAAGAGCGGACGGCTAATTGTCCTGAAGGCAGCAGCCGGCCGCTTCCCGAGGCTTATCGGCCGATCACCCTGCTTCGGTCCTTGGCAAAATTTTAGAAAGGATTATACTGAAATGCTCCCCTCAAATTATGAGGGAATCTCTGAAAATCAGCACGGTTTCTCTCGGGGAGGTCGACGATGACCCTGTTAATATACTCAAAATAGTTAAGACTAGCGATACAAAATATGTTCAAGCCATTTTCTGGATATATCCGGAGCATTCGATAATGCGTGGTGGCCGATGACGCTGGTCAAGGCTAAGCGTGGTGGCTGCCAGCCGAATATATATCGGATGCTCCGTGATTATTTCTCAAATAGGCGCGTATGTCTGTATTTGGGTCCCGAGGTGTTCTGGAAGGCGTCTACAATGGGGTGCCCGCAGGGTTCGGTGTTAGGGCCGACCCTGTGGAACGTGTTAATGGACGACTTGCTGAGGCTGCCGCTCCCGGACGGTGTGCGTATTGTCGCGTACGCCGATGACGTGAGCGTCTTGATCGGTGCAGAGTCGAGAATAGGTATTGAAACCAAAGCCCGCGATACACTAAGGCTCATTAGCGAATGGGGCGGTCGAAACCGGCTGGAGTTTTCTCCGTCGAAATCCCAAACGATGACGATGAAGGGCAGGTTCCAGCGACCGCCCATAATTAGATTATCCGGGAACCCGATCAGGGCGGTTGCATCGGCGACTGTTCTGGGTGTGGTTATAGACGCCTCTCTCTCTTTTGCTCAGCATGCGGCTAGCATAGTCGAGAGGGCGTCACGATGCTTCGGCAAGTTGTCCCGAATGTCTGCGGCGTCTTGGGGGATAAGGTACGGTGCGCTGAGGGTCCTCTACCGGGGTACCTTCGTCGCTACTGTGACGTATGGGGCCGGGTGTTGGGTCGACAGGGTGGGAACGTACGTGGCGCGCAGCACGTTATTAAGGGGACAGAGGCCGGCATTGGTGCTCTTAACTAAAGCTTACAGATCGGTTAGCACGGCTGCGCTCCCGGTGCTGGCTGGTGTTTTTCCGGCGGACCTGGAGGTGACCCGTGCTGGTAGGTTGGATTTGGCGAGGCTGCAGGCCACCAAGGCCGAGATCAGGGCTCGAAAGAGAGGCCTTTGGGATGAAATAATAGCTGTATGGCAGGAGAGATGGACGAATGAAACGCGTGGAAGGGAGTTGCATCGCTTCTTCCGGACGTGGCGGTGAGACTCGGCTCTGACTGGGTCTCTCCGGATTATGAAACATCGCAGATCCTGACGGGACATGGCTGTTTCGAAAGAGATTGAATGATATGAAGCTGGTGATACTAGTGTGTGTTTCTGTGGAATGGAAGACGAGGACATGCATCACGTTCTGTGGTATCCATTGTATGCAGAGATGAGGATGAAAATGATGAATGGTATCACGCGGGAGGATATGGGGCCGATCTACTACACGATCTGGTTAGCTGCAAGACGAACTTCGACAGGCTGGTAGAGTTCGCGCGTGCATGGCACAGATTACGCGCGCAGACTAGAAGAAGACTCGAAGAAGATATGAATATTAAGCTGCCCGTTACCGAAGACGTTTATGTGGTGTCAAGCCTAATAAGGAGAATTGACAAAGGGACTGGAGAAGAGTAAAAATAAATATGCTTGTAGGAAGCAGGGAAGAGCTGCGGGACTAGATCATCGGTGTCCCGCGACTTGCTCCACGATTCGGCAATATGACCGCAAGGTTGGAGGGGCCATGGGAGGAGTGGTGAGCTGTCCCTATCTACTATCTGCATTGAAACCACAGCCAAGGGAACGGGCTTGGGAGAATCAGCGAGGGAAAAGACCCTGTCGAGCTTGCTCTAGTCTGGTGTTCACTGTGACGAGAGGGGCGAGAGGTGTAGCAAAGTGGGAGGCCGTCCCGCGGCCGTCGCTGGAGCTACCACTACTCTCGTCGTCACGTCGCTCACTCGGTTAAGCAGAAACTGTACCGGTCGAATGATTTCGAGCGGCACAGGTTTGGTTTCAAGCGTGAAGTGAACGCTTCGCGTGGTTCGATCGAAGACACTGCAGGCGGGGAGTTTGACTGGGGCAGGCCTGCCAAAGAATGCGCAGGTGTCCCAAAGGCCAGCTCAGCGAGGACGGAAACCTCGCGTGGCAGAAGGGCAAAAAGCTGGAGTCGAGCAGATGTTCAGTACGCATAGGGACTGCGGCACGGCCTATCGATCTCTCTCGTAAAGAGCTTTTAGAGAGGTGCCAGAAAAGTTACCGCAGGGATAACTGGTTTGTGGCGGCCGAGCGCCCATAGCAACGTCGCTTTTGATTCTTCGATGTCGGCTCTTCCTATCATGGTGACGAAATTGCTAAGTGTTTGGATTGTTCGCATAAAGGGAGCGTGAGCTGGGTTTAGACCGTCGTGAGACAGGTCAGTTTTACCCCACTGATGGCGCGTCCTCGCGATAGTAATACTGCTAATTCCACAGTAACCGTATTGGTATCGGACATTTGGTCGTGCACTCGGCCGCGCGCCTGGCGGTGCCAACTACCATCGTGGGATAACGTCTGAACGCATATAAGACGAAACCCGTCTAGCAGATCGGGCGAGGGATACCTGGCAGGGGGCCCCGGAGTCGAAGTGCTCAAACAATGTGAACTCTTATTAGTCGGACTTTATGCGTAAGTTCGGCGTCGAAGCTACGGCGCCTCAGGTTAAAGCGGTAGCGCAGAGGACGATGCGCACTCCCCGCCTGTATTAAAAGTAGTTCGAGGTCAGGGCCGAATCGTCTGTAGACGACCTTCGTTCCTGGCGGTTTGTGGAGGAACAGCCTCGAGCTGTGATCTGTTGAGACTTAGCCTTTGCTGAGGCGATTCGTCAAAAGCGAATTCATTTATGAATCTACTCGAATCGACTCCCGCAACCAAGTAAAATAGTTTTTTGTAATAAAATAACGTCTATTATAAATATTGACAACAGCTGAAAAACAGGGTATATTAGAGACTAAATGTAACTTTTGAAATTTTTTCAAGCTCAAACTTTTTAGATACATAGCGTACGCAAACAAAATAATTTTCAGTTTGTCAGCAAACTACCTGTGTTATTCAATACACTGAATAAAAATTCTACCTAATGGGGCGATAAATCGATTTAGTTATGTTTAGAAATACATTTAAAAATCTCGTTTTATTGGTGTTTCCAGGCAATGTTGGGAAATCGGCCGGTCTCGAATTCAGAAGACCCCAGTTCGATTCGACATGACTCATTTTTCAAGTCTTCTAGTTTTTTTCAAGCTTCTTTTTTCCCAAAAATTCCCAAAAATAACATCATTTAAGTCTTGTTTGGTTTGGTTGATTTACCAAAAAGAAACGAAGCGAAACCCGTCATCGGTACTGAAGAATTTAAGTGCTGATTTATTAATATTATTTTATTATTGTATCGACCACAAAATAATTTCCAATCTTCATATAATTTGCAATGGAGATTTGTATATCGAAATAATTCTAGATGCATCATCTTCTCAATAAGAGACAAGATAATGAAATGTATTTATAAGCGCAATGCGATCATTGCTATTAATAAGACTTCAGGAATTTTGAAATTCTAACCAACAGAAATATGTTTGTCCAATTTAGATATTTGTGTTTGCGGCAATTTCAAACCGATTTCTTGACGATCGAGACGGCATGAGACCTCATGAGTGGAACTATATCTGCTTCCATTCAAGTTCTTTAGAGGAAAGGATGCATTTAGATTCACAATTACAAAGGAATGTTTAGGTACATTTTTAGAAAGGACGCTAAACTTATCCTTGTGCATTTTCACCGCGCGCATGATACTTTAATGTTCTCACCGCTCGTTCCAACCGTGATCCTTGGACGACCTGGCCGTAGCTCGATGCTTCGCTTAATGATTTTAGTCTTCACACATTGTTCCTCTATTTTAGGAAGTTACGCGAACACGTAGGCAGACTGTTCACTTTAATTTTTCTTGTAATTGTTCGTAATTTTTTGGATTCTACAATAGTTCAGTTCATGGACCATCATTTTATTTTCAATTTCAAGAACTTAAGGACAGTGCAAAAAGAAATTTGAATTATATATTTGATGAAAAATAATGTTTGAATAAAAAGTCGCAAATTTGAATGAACATAATTTGCATAGTGCAGGATGACGTATAGATACCGAATTTGCGGTGAAATACTAGAAAGACGTGCGCTGGAACACCAGCCTTAAGGTAAGATCGGCGTTAGAGATATAAAATTGTTATAAATACATATCAAAATACAAGCCAGTCAGGCCAATATAGCTCGTAAGTAAACTGAAATAGGTAGCCAGTTTTTTGGCGAGATCAGCGTAAGATATATAAAACGACTGTGTATGCACCTCAAAAACACCTAACGGACCAAAATAATTCGTAAGTAAATGAAAAGTTATAACACGCCTTTGAGCGAATTAAGCGTAAAAGGTACATAATTATCATGAATACATATCAAAATACAAGCCAGTCAGGCCAATTTAGCTCGTAAGTAAACTAAAATAGGTAGCCAGTTGTTTGGGCGAGATCAGCTTTAGGTATATAAAACGACAGTGTATGCACCTCAAAAACACCTAACGGACCAAAATAATTCGTAAGTAAATGAAAAGTTATAACACGGGCAGATGTATAAAAGATACATAATTATCATGAATACATATCAAAATACAAATGGTCAATTAATTTAGTCGTAAACTAAAATAGGTAGCCAGTTGTTTGGGCGAGATCAGCTTTAGGTATATAAAAACGACAGTGTATGCACATCAAAACACCTAACAGGACCAATATAACTCGTAAGTAAATGAAAAGTTATAACACGCCTTTGGGCGAGATCAGCGTAAAAGATACATAATTATCATGAATACATATCAAAATACAAGCCAGTCAGGCCAATATAGCTTGTAAGTAAACTAAAATAGGTAGCCAGTTTTTTGGCGAGATCAGCGTAAGATATATAAAACGACTGTGTATGCACCTCAAAAACACCTAACGGACCAAAATAATTCGTAAGTAAATGAAAAGTTATAACACGCCTTTGGGCGAGATAAGCGTAAAAGATACATAATTATCATGAATACATATCAAAACAAGCCAGTCAGACCAATATAGCTCGTAAGTAAACTAAAATAGGTAGCCAGTTTTTGGCAGAGATCAGCGTAAGATATATAAAAACGACTGTGTATGCACATCAAAAACACCTAACGGACCAAAATAATTCGTAAGTAAATGAAAAGTTATAACACGCCTTGGGCGAGATCAGCGTAAAGATACATAATTATCATGAATACATATCAAAATACAAACCAGTCAGGCCAATATAGCTCGTAAGTAAATGAAAATAGGTAGCCAGCTGTTCGAGATCAGCTTTAGGTATATAAAACTACTGTGTATGCACATCAAAACACCTAACAGGACCAATATAACTCGTAAGTAAATGAAAAGTTATAACACGCCTTTGAGGCGAGATCAATAAAATATATAATTATCATGAATACATATCAAAATACAAACCAGTCAGACCAATTCGTAAAGTAAATAAAATAGGTAGCCAGTTGTTTGGGCGAGATCAGCTTTAGGTATATAAAACGACTGTGTATGCACATCAAAACACCTAACAGGACCAATATAACTCGTAAGTAAATGAAAAGTTATAACACACCTTTGAGCGAGATCAGCTTTAGGTATATAAAACTACTGTGTATGTACATCAAAGATATGTCACTGGACCAATATGAGTCGTAAGTAAATGAAAAGTTATAACACGCCTTTGAGCGAGATCAGCATTATATACATGAAACTACTGTGTATGCACATCAAAGATATGTCACGGGACCAGTATGAGTCGTAAGTAAATGAAAAGTTATAACACGCCTTTGAGCGAGATCAGCATTAGTTACATGAAACTACTGTGTATGCACATCAAAGATATGTCACTGGACCAGTATGAGTCTTAAGTAAATGAAAAGTTATAACACGCCTTTGAGCGAGATCAGCATTAGATATATGAAACTACTGTGTATGGACATCAAAGATATGTCACGGGACCAGTATGAGTCGTAAGTAAATGAAAAGTTATAACACGCCTTTGAACGAGATCAGCATTAGTTACATGAAACTACTGTGTATGCACATCAAAGATATGTCACGGGACCAGTATGAGTCATAAGTAAATGAAAAGTTATAACACGCCTTTGAGCGAGATCAGCATTATTTACCTGAAACTACTGTGTATGCACATCAAAGATGTGTCACTGGACCAGTATGAGTCGTAAGTAAATGAAAAGTTGGATCACGCCTGTGAGCGAGATCAGCATTAGATATATAAAACTACTGTGTATGCACATCAAAGATATGTCACTGGACCAGTATGAGTCGTAAGTAAATGAAAAGTTATAATACGCCTTTGAGCGAGATCAGCTTTAGGTATATAAAACTACTGTGTATGCACATCAAAGATGTGTCACTGGACCATATGAGTCGTAAGTAAATGAAAAGTTATAACACGCCTTTGGCGAGATCAGCTTTAGGTATATAAAACTACTGTGTATGCACATCAAAACATCTAACTGGACCAATAACTCGTAAGTAAATGAAAAGTTATAACACACGCCTTTGGGCGAGATCAGCGTAAAAGATACATAATTATCATGAATACATATCAAAATACAAACCAGTCGACCAGTATAGCTCGTAAAGTAAATAACTAAAATAGGTAGCCAGTTTTGGCGAGATCAGCGTAAGATATAAAACGACTGTGTATGCACCTCAAAAACACCTAACGGACCAAAATAATTCGTAAAGTAAATGAAAGTTATAACACGCCTTTGGGCGAGATCAGCGTAAAGATACATAATTATCATGTATACATATCAAAGACAAATACAGTCAGGCCAATATAATCGTAAGTAAATAAAAGGTAGCCACGTTTTGGCGAGATCAGCGTTAGATATATAAAACTACTGTGTATGCACATCAAAGACACCTAACTGGACCAGTATAAGTCGTAAGTAAATGAAAAGTTATAACACGCCTTTGGGCGAGATCATCAAAAAGATACATAATTATCATGAATACATATCAAAAATACAAACCAGTCGGACCAATATAGCTCGTAAGTAAATAAAATAGGTAGCCAGCTTTTGAGCGAGATCAGCTTTAGGTATATAAAACTACTGTGTATGCACATCAAAACACCTAACAGGACCAATATAACTCGTAAGTAAATGAAAAGTTATAACACGCCTTTGAGCGAGATCAGCATTAGTTATATGAAACTACTGTGTATGCACATCAAAGATATGTCACTGGACCAATATGAGTCGTAAGTAAATGAAAAGTTATAATAACCTTGTGAGCGAGATCAACATTATATACTATGAAACTACTGTGTATACATCAAAGATGTGTCACTGGACCGATATAGTCGTAAGTAAATGAAAAGTTGGAACACGCCTTTGAGCGAGATCAGCATTAGATATAGAACTACTGTGTATGCACATCAAAGATATGTCACTGGACCAGTATGAGTCGTAAGTAAATGAAAAGTTATAACACGCCTTT